GGGTAACCTTACTGACCAAATGGTTCATATTATAAAGGAATAAGGAAAGGGCAATCGTAAGTATGGAATTAAAGTAACCAGTGAATTAAACACAAATCAAAAAGAGTTCTTTCAAGTACAAAATGTAAAGGTCAGGAAAAATAGAACCACTGAGAACTGGGGCTGAGCAGCTCACTGATAATAAGAGAAAAATGTGTTCTCTTTTTAAAGTAATTATTCATTTTCAGAAGAAAACCAACTGAGTAATATAATAGTCAGGAGAGATATGATTATCAATTAATTAGACAAATTAAAACAAAATAAATCCCGGGGCCTCTACGAATTGCTTTAGATTGGTGCTTCAAGAATGGAAGTGGGAACTTAGTCATCTGTAAACAAGCCTCTGCTAACGCATGAATCCAAACTTGTGTTGTGCCATTGTGGAAGATCACTAACGTAATTCCTATATTTAAATCAAAGGATAAGTAGATTTCATCAAAATACCCTAGGTAAATTGTAAGAATCAATTATAGCCGATATCATAAAAAGCTACCTTACTGAGCATAAATTAATTAATGAGTCGCAACGTAGATTTACAAGAGTCTTTACTGCCTGACAAATTTCTTGACCTTCTTCAATAATGCATTAGAGCAAGTGGACCACGATCATGAACATCATGTTGTTTATTAGTATTTCAGTAAGGCCTTTGATAAAGCACAACACAAAGGATTGTTAGGAAAAGTGTCAGCTCATGGTATAGAAGAATAGATTCTAACATGGATCTAAGCAAGGCTGACTAATAGAAAGCAGAGTTTGCTAAATAGAGTGAAATCTGACTGGGAACTAGTCACAAGTAGCGTTCCAGAGGGATAAGTTTTAGACCCATTGTTGCTCCAAATTTAAATTAATGGCCTTAACGAATGAGTGACAAGTGACTTAAGTAAATTCGCTGAACATACAAATATAGGCTGAATAATAGATTCTGAAGGTCTGAAAACTGGTAGATGTGCACAAGCGTGAAGTCCTAATCCCTGGGAGCGAAATTAACTCTAATAGGTGATGCAGAGCTTCATCATACAGAATGTGAAAAAGACTTTGGAGCTCTGGTAAGCAAAAATCTGAAGCCAAGACAACAATCCCCAAGTGTGTGCAATAAGACTAAAAGATTACTTTGATTTATTTCAAGAAGTATAAGTAACAGGAGTCCAGAAGTTATTTTATACCTAGTAAGGCCTCGCTTGGATTACGCAGCTCAATTTTCGTCGCCGTTTTACATAATGGACATAAATGCATTAGATAGTATTCATAGAAGGACAAAATTGATTCACTGTATGAACAATCTCTCGTACGAGGATTGATTGAAATCATTAAACCTTTACTCTCTTGAGAGATGTAGAATAATTGGAGATATCAGTGAAGTATAAAAATGGTGAGCAAACAACAGGACATATTAAAAAAGTGATCGGTCCCGCGGCCTTGATCACTTCTAACAATAGTTTAAAATTAATAGTTTATAATTGCGGAAAGTGGGGAAAGTGGGGTGTGAGTGATATATATCGATATAAAAAATGCAGGTGTGACCTATATGAGATGAGGTCAGGAAGATAATGAGACCATGCGATTCCTGTGTTGTTAGGTAGGTTGGGCTTTGCCTGGTTGAATATCGTGTATGGCAATGTTCTTTTTTATAGTTTCGTAGCTTCTAGTATTATGTTTAAAGGGGTCGTGTAATATCTTGTTCATTGAGGGCGAGTTGTGTCTCATTCCAATTCATCAAATGTCTCGTGGAATTCCTGTGGAGTACACAGGCGTACTTTAAGCCGTTTCTTTTTGCTAGCGTTTCGATATTCTTTCAGGAGGACCGAAAGATTTCTGCTTGTTAACCCAACATATTTCTTGGAACTGAATTCACAGGGGATGGTGTAGACGCCTGCTGTGGAAGCTAGAAGTACGGAGCTACGTTTAATAGTGATGTCTTTGATAGAGGAAGTGTTTACGGTGGAAACATTGACATCGCTTCTCTCAAGTACCTGGCAGATATTCTTGGCAACATCACTACATGGAAGCATTATGAACTGTTTAGAGGACTCTTCCATGGGGGGGTGGGTTGATGAGGATAGTTTGTGCCTTGAATCTGCAATCTCGGATGAAAAAAGATGGAAACTAAAGGCGTGTGAAGACTTGTCGTACGTAGGTACATTCCTCTTCAAGAAAGCAAGGGCTGGAGTTGCGAAGAGCTCTCAAGAAGAAGTAAATAATTACACCTTTTTAAGTGTGGGTGTTATAGTGTGAATAAAAGTGTTTAGATCGTTCTTGTTGGCAAGTTTTCTATACATTTTGAAGAGAAGTTGGTCACTGTCGGGAGACCTGCACAGAAGTACGTCAAGGAAAGGAAGTTTGCCGTCTTTTTCGAGTTCCATTGTAAACTTTATTGATGGTTCAACAGTACTGATCTTGGTGAGGAGGGTCTGGATATTGAAACGTCTGAGGAAAAAAAAAACAAGATATCATCAACGTATCTCAGCCACGAAATGGTGTTAGAAATGAGTGCTGAATTTCTCGGTCTCTAGGTTCTCCATGAAGAGGTTTGAGAACGCAGTACTGAACAAGCTACCCACTGCCAACACAAAGCTTTCTTTGTAGCAGTTGCCCTAATAATTGAAGAGGTTAATATTAACACAGAGACCCAGTAAACTGATGAAATCTAGAAGAGGTAATGGGAGGTCAGGGTTATGGGTGAGCCTCTGTCTCAGAAAATTTATTGCCGCTTCAGTGGAGACATTGGTAAAGAGAGCTGTGACATCAAAGAAAGCCATGCTTTTATTTTTGACATTTATGTTGGAAATGCGAGAGAGGTCACCTGAGCGTTTGAGGTGCACCTGGCTGATGGTGCCTAGAAGTGCTAAGATGTATTTGGCAAGGCCGCCAGCTAATCTTTGTGATGCGTTCCATATGCTCGAAGTGAGAGAACGTAGAGAAATGCAAGGCTTATGTGTCCTATGAAAGCCATAAAGGCGTACTGGTTTTGGTTGACCTGGTAAAAGTTTTAATAGTTTCTTGCCTGATTCTTTCTGATTTTCATAGTGTGTTACGGGCTTTTTGAAGAAAAGTTTGGGTGGTGTGAAGTGACTGATTCTGATACCGGCTGGTATATGCTGGCATCAGTGAAGAGATCCGAAACTTTATTATTGTACCTACTACTAAATAAGGATCTGATATATCTGTTGCCTATCTAAGAACATACACATCCACAGGTCTACCCATCAACAATTTATCCAGTAATACATAGTCCAACAAAACTACTGTCATTACGCCCTATATCATATATCGTGTTCTTATTTATCCTCTCTTTTTTTTAAAATATGCGTTACATATTACTAAACCTCTTTCTGTACAAAGTTCACTTATAAACTCCATGATTATCACTCATCCCTGACACCCCAAACGTTTTTCCTACTTAAGAATTTAGCTCCTCCTCCACAATTAATATCTCACTTGGTTGAATGCTCCCAAAACCCTCAACATCTACCAAAAAAATTATGTTTTTTTTCTCCAGGTGTATAAACACTAAATATAACCCACTTTTCACATCCGGTCCTTATTTTAATCCACATAATCCTTGAATTTATACATTTATTTTCCCTCTTCTCCTGCCATAAGTGACTTTTCAACATTGCCGCTACTACAACCTTAGCTCTAATTCTCTCAGGTACAGCTATCTAATCTTATTTGTTTCTCCCCACTGGAAAATTCCTACTCCTTTCAGCTTTGTTTCGCAGAGATCCAGGACATCCAGCTTCTTTTCATTCATACCACTGACAATCATCTCCTTATCATCTGCACAGCATCCACACACATTCCAACATTTCAACTTTATAAAGTTTTTCTTCTTTCTACATTTAGTAATTAATACAGGAGAAGGGGTTACTAACCCCTTGTTCCCGGCATTTTAGCCGCCTCTTACGACGCTTTGCTTATGGAAGAAAGATTCTTCTCCACTTCCCCATGGAAGTGAAAGGGAAAAATAAAAACAAAAACTATTAAGAAAATAGGAGAAAACTCAGATAGGTGTGTATACATATACGTGTACATGAATGTGTAGTGGGACCTAAGTGTAAGTAGAGGTAACAAGATGTACCTGTTATCCTGCGTGTTTAGGAGACAGAAATAGAAAGATATCAGCAATCCTACCACTGTGTAAAACAATTACAGGTTTCCGTTTCACACTCATTTGGCAGGACGGGAGAACATCCCTGGGTGGCTGTTGTCTACCAACACTTAATTATTTACTTTCAGACAGAGTTCCGTTATAAATTGGTATAAATTTCAGCATACAGATTGAAGTTTATTTTAGATGCACTGAGGTGATGACCCGAATATACAATATCGTGAAGATAAAATCTGAAGTATCATCATATCTGGTAGCCTCTTTTATATTTCAACTTTCTAAAAATTTTAAAAGTTGTAAGAGTTTTCTAACATTTACGTGTTAACTTAAAAAGGTTTGAGGGTACAGTGCGTAGTGCTATTATTTTTAACGTTTAGATTTTGAGACCTGAAAACTTCTAAAATGATAACATTTGCTACAGGATTTTCTGTGCTTGATGACTGTCTATGTTGTTGCCAAAATCGGTTTGTATATGAGGATAATTATGGGATTTCTGGACTCAGCTTTATGGTCTAAACGTGATGCTATATCAGATGATTTGAGCGCTTATGTGTTCCTGCAACTTTTTTTACTCTAATACTTACAAATTATGCTTTGGGGTCCACATTTCACTGTCCAAGAGGCATAAATTCTTCACATGTCTCCTCTCACTCTCACTCGTCGTCTCTAACTTCCCATCTTTCATTCCTTATCTCTTATTCCTCACCTTACACTCCTATCTATTCTCACCTATCACTCCTCGTCTCTCACTTCTCATCACTCACTTAAATCCTCATCTCTCGCATCTTGACACTCACTCGTCAACTTTTACCCTGATCTGAAGACCAACACAACAACTTTGCATTCAACTTACTTGAGGAACTGACCCACGAGGTCCTTCTTCTGGATGACCTCCGTACTAGGCCTCGCCATAGCCAGAATGCTGTCCGTCACCCTGTGGGAAGTCACCTGAGGTCAGTGGTCATAATGACAAGAACAAATGGTAAGCTTGTAGAGGTTTATTTAGCGCAAGCACAGTGTAGGCTCGATCTTCCGTCCATTCCCTGGCTCCAACCATGAGATTACACAGGAAGGCTATATAAATTAATATTTTTGTGTATTAGCCTGAACGTTTTAATGTTCCAGAAAGACAGAGCCTAAAGCGGTGGTATTATGATCAAGTTGTTACTGCATGTGATGGTGACGGCAGCACTAACGACACATACCTACACCCAGACGTATCATAGTTTGTATGTGTGTGCTGGTGACGGCAGCACTATCAACACGATAGTCTGTATGTGTGTGCTGGTGACGGTAACACTATCAACACAAACCAACACCCAAACGTAGGATGGTCTGTATGTGTGTGCTAGTGGTGGTAGTACTATCAACAAATACTTACATACAAAAGTATGCTAATCTGTGTGTATTCACCTATTTGTAGTCACCTATTTTTGGCTGAGAGATCGATTCATAGCTCCAGGCCTCTCTCTTCCTGCTCCATGTGTTTTATCCAACCTCGTCTTAAAACTACGTATGGTTTCTGCCTAAACTACGTCGCTTTCCAAACTATTCCACTTCCTGACAACTCTATGACTGAAGAAATACTTCCTAACATCCGTTTGAATCATCTGAGTCTTCAGCTTCCAGTTGTGACCCCTTATTTCTGTCTTCCATTTCTGGAACATCCTGTCTCTGTCCACCTTGTCAGTTTGTTATCATGTCTCCTCTAACCCTCCTGTCCCCCAGTGTCGTCAGGCCGATTTCCTTTGTTGCAAACCTTTGCACTTTCTCTAATTTCTTGTGTGTGTGTGTGTGTGTGTGTGTGTGTGTGTGTGTGTGTGTGTGTGTGTGTGTGTGTGTGTGTGTGTGTATACTCACCTATTTGTACTCACCTATTCGTGGTTGCAGGGGTCGAGTCTTAGCTCCTGGCCCCGCCCCTTCACCGGTTGCTACTGGGCTCTCTCTCTCCCCGCTCCATGAGCTTTATCAAACCTCGTCTTAAAACTGTGTATGGTTCCTGCCTCCACAACGTCATTATCTAGGCTATTCCACTGCCTGACAACTCTATGACTGAAGAAATACTTCCTAATATCTCTCTGACTCATTTGTGTTTTCAACTTCCAATTGTGGCCTCTTGTTTCTGTGTCCCCTCCCTGGAACATCCTGTCTTTGTCCACCTTGTCTATTCCACGCAGTATTTTATATGTCGTTATCATGTCTTCCCTGACCCTCCTGTCCTCCAGTGTCGTCAGGCCGATTTCCCTTAATCTTTCTTCATAGGACATTCCCCTTAGCTCTGGAACTAACCTTGTCGCAAAACTTTGTACCTTCTCTAGTTTCTTGACGTGCTTTATCAAGTGCGGATTCCAAACAGGTGCTGCATACTCCAGTATGGGCCTGACATACACGGTGTACAGTGTCTTGAACGATTCCTTACTAAGGTATCGGAATGCTGTTCTCAGGTTTGCCAGGCGCCCATATGCTGCAGCAGTTATCTGGCTGATGTGTGCTTCCGGAGACATGCTCGGTGTTATACTCACCCCAAGATCTTTCTCCTTGAGTGAGGTTTGCAGTCTTTGGCCACCTAGCCTATACTCTGTCTGTGGTCTTCTGTGCCCTTCCCCTATCTTCATGACTTTGCATTTGGCAGGATTAAATTCGAGAAGCCATTTGCTGGACCAGGTGTCCAGTCTGTCCAGGTCTCTTTGAAGTCCTGCCTGGTCCTCATCTGATTTAATTCTCCTCATTAACTTCACATCATCTGCAAACAGGGACACTTCTGAGTCTAACCCTTCCATCGTGTCGTTCACATATACCAAAAATAGCACTGGTCCTAGGACCGACCCCTGTGGGACCCCGCTCGTCACAGGTGCCCACTGTGATACATCATTACGTGTGTGTGTGCGTGTGTGTGTGTGTGTGTGTATGTGCGTGTGCGTGTGTGTGTGTGTGTGTGTGTGTGTGTGTGTGTGTGTGTGTGTGCGTGTGTGTGTGTGTGTGAGTGAGTGTGTGTACTCACCTAGTTGTGGTTGCAGGGGTCGAGTCCTAGCTCCTGGACTCGCCTCTTCACTGGTCGCTACTAGGTGTGTGTGTGTGTGTGTGTGTGTGTGTGTGTGTGTGTGTGTACTCACCTAGTTCTCACCTAGTTGAGGTTGCGGGGGTCGAGTCCGAGCTCCTGGCCCCGCCTCTTCACTGATCGCTACTAGGTCACTCTCCCTGAGCCGTGAGCTTTATCGTACCTCTGCTTAAAGCTATGTATGGATCCTGCCTCCACTACATCGCTTCCCAAACTATTCCACTTACTGACTACTCTGTGGCTGAAGAAATACTTCCTAACATCCCTGTGATTCATCTGTGTCTTTAGCTTCCAACTGTGTCCCCTTGTTACTGTGTCCAATCTCTGGAACATCCTGTTTTTGTCCACCTTGTCAATTCCTCTCAGTATTTTGTATGTCGTTATCATGTCCCCCCTATCTCTCCTGTCCTCCAGTGTCGTCAGTTGATTTCCCTTAACCTCTCCTCGTAGGACATACCTCTTAGCTCTGGGACTAGTCTTGTTGCAAACCTTTGCACTTTCTTAGTTTCTTTACGTGCTTGGCTAGGTTAGGGGCTATTGGGGAAATTTAAAGGCCACTGAATAGGGGGCAAAAATTTTTTTCCTGGGTAGAGGCATGGCTGGCGGGAGATTTTGGGCAAAAAATTGGGGAAAAATTTTAAAAGGGGGGCCACGTAAAAAGGCGGGTGTTCCGCAGGGGTCAGTGTTGGGCCCGTTGTTGTTCAAAATTTTAAAATATAAACGACATAGATGGGGAATTTAAATAGGAAAATTACAAAATTTTCTGAGACACCAAAATGGGGCCGCCCCAATTCATTCTAATGGGGACACTAGAGACTTCAGGTTGATTTAAAATAGACTGATAAAAAATGGTCGGAGAAGGGCGAGCGTTAATATAGAAAATTTGCAAAGTTCAAAATTTTTCGACAGGAAAATAACCATGCCACATATAAACAAAATTCATGTAAAAATTCTTAATACTAGCGATTGCGAAAGGGGTTTAGGAAGTTTTTTTAAGCAAAATTCAAAAACGAAGACACATGCTTTTAGTTTTTTTGCAATAAAGCTAACAGAATCCTTGGCTTCATATCTAGAAGTATAAAAAATAAAAATTTCCTCAGGTTGTTTTTCAACTCTATATACCCTTTTTTTTGGGCCCCTCATTTAGATTATGCGCACAGTTTGGTCACCGAATTACAGAATGGATGTAAAATAAAACTGGAAAGAGCACAGAGGAAGATGACAAAGTTGATCCCATGTACCGAAATCTTCTCTTTAGGATAAAAATGAGGGCCCTGAACTCACCTCTCAAAAAGGCGTGGGAATTTAGGGTGATAGAACGGGGGTAAAAAGGGAAAAAAGGGAAATTATTTGTAATGCATTTAAAATTTATTAGTGACAAGGTGTAAAGGGCGAGGAGAAGCGGCTTTCCCACAAGATAGCGGGGAAACAAAAATTTGCTTTTTCTTCAATAAAAATGAAAAATTTCAACATAAAACAGCCCAAAATTTTAAATTTAAAAAATTTTTTTTTTATCAAACTCAGTTTTAAAGGTTAATTGATGACACATTTTACTCAGAAAGGGAAAATCCAACTTTTTCCCTCCGAAATTGGGTTTTGACGCCGTCAGCAGTTGCCTTAAGAAGAAATAAACCATAAAAGGGGTTTTGTCGCAAATTTGGGATATGAAAAAAATTAAAATTTTGTGTGAATTACGCTTTTAATGCGAAAATTATCGCTTTGACAGCATTTAATTCAAATTTATATCCCCCTTTTCCCTTTAAAAAAAAGCACTTTGGGGATTTCCCACTGGCAAAAATTTTTCTTTTTAATAATGGCTTTTTTTTTAATTAAGTAATAATAAGAAAATTATTTAAATTAGTTTTTTTTAAATTTTGGGTTTTACAATTTTTTTTCCCCTTTGGTCTTGAAGCAAAAAAAATTTGTTCCCCCCAAAAATAGGGGTATTTAAGGGAAGGGGTTGTAACCAAACCCTTTAAAAAAATACAGTCAGTTAAGGGGAGTGTTTTTTCATCAAAAAAAAGAAAGAAACATTCTAAAGTTTTTTTTTCCACAGAAACAAATTTTTGATTAAAAAAAATTTGGGACATTCAAACTTTCCAACAGCCTTAATCAAAAACATTTTTTAGGGGGAAAACCCATCTAAAACCAAAATTTTTACATTTAACTAGAAGGGGAAATTCTCCATTTACTGGGGAGAAAATAAAAAAAAAATTTCACCTAAACCAAAAAGGAAAAAAAAAAATTAATCCGTTTCATAAGAAACAAAGCCTTTAAAGTTTAAGGGCCCGTTCAAAAATATTTTATTTTAATAAGGGGTTTACCCTAGGCCGGGGAATGCAGGCACAGATTTAGTAAAATCAATAAGATAAACCATTTCCCTTTGGATCAAGGCCCTTTCATCGGCTCGGGGGAGGACCCCCCCTTGGGGCAAAACCCAGTTACTAATAGCCAATAATAGTTAAATAATAATAATAAAAATTAATAGTTAAAAAATCCATCTTTAAATTTTTTTTTTAAACATTATAAGGGCCCCAAAATAGAATTTTACACTCTAGATAAATAATTTTAAACCTTTTTAAAAAGGTTGGGGCAACCGTACGGGAAATTTACAAACGGGGAGGACCCCTGCTTTTCTGTTCTTCCACGCCCTTTAAAATTTTAAAATTTTTTTGGGAAAGGGCAAAAAATTGAACCTATCAAATAAGGGTTTTTTACATTATAGCGAAAGCTTTTAATGCAACAATCTTGCCTATTTTTATATCCCTTTCCTGCTCTATTTTCCCGTTATTGTAATTTTGTAAAGGGTCCAAATCAACCGAAGCGTCATCTTTAAGCTCCTCTCTTCATGTGCGAGTTATTTATCAAAGGAGAAC